CAGACCACACCCCACACCGCGCCCTCCTGCCTCCCCCCTTACCTCCCCCTGCAAACTCCCTCTCAAACTCCCCTGTTAGCCGCCCTGTTTGCTGCCTCCGGTGCCGCTGCTCGCATAGCTAGGAGAGACAGTGCCCCAACTGCATGGAACAGAGCTCAAAATATAAAGAATGCTACCACCACAACCAGGATCACTCGCATGGTCTTACCACAGGGTTTGGTAAATTGGGCTCCATGCATCTTGACGACTATAAGGATGTAGCAAGCTGCCATTATGATAAAGGGAAGGAGGAAGCCAAAGACAATCCTGGTAATACTGATGGTCAGTGGGGTGGTTGGCTGACTGCTGTTGGAGAAGTAATCATTAAAGTTCCCCAGTAAGATAATATCATTGTCAAGGCTGCCAGGAATATCAGCGCTGGAGAAACCACCAGGATATTCATCTGGGGATATGCCAGAACTCATGTCTGAATCATTCCCATAATCCATATAATCTCCATAATCCCTATCATCTCCAAATTGATAACTACAAACAGTTTTGCCTTTGAAGGTCTCACAGTAGAGGAAGGCAGGACAACACATAATGAAAGCCACGAGCCAGATACAACCGCACATCACTGATGCAAGTTTCATGGTACGGTGGTTCTGACACCAAACTGGCTTCATCACCATCAGGCACCGGTCAATGCTGATGGAAGTGAGGAGGAAGATGCTGGCAAACATGTTGAGGATGATGGCTGATGGGATAACCTTGCAGAGGAAGCGGCCATATGGCCAGTACTCATGGAGGATCAGGTGAATGATGGAGAATGGCAGAGACATGCAGCACAGGAAGTCAGCAATGGCAAGGTGCAGGAACAACACAGTGTTCACGGTCCGCTTCATTTTCAGGCCAGCCACCCAGATCACCAAGCAATTGCCCAGGAGGCCCAGGATAAAGGTGAGAATGAAGATAATTAAGGAACCAATGATTTCTGGCTCATAATGTAGTGTGGCACCATCATCTGGCTTGTATGTGCTGTTACTCCTCAGGAGCAGAGACATAGTCTTTAGATACTGGTGGGAAAAAAATAGAAGATCATTTGCTATTAACCCCATTAACACACCCCACTGCCAGCTGTATGTGCCCAACCCCAAGATTACACTTTCTGTATGTATCAGAACATCCTTGTGTGGGTTGTCAGCAGTCGGGATTGAACCTAGAAGCTATCAATATGAAAGCACAAGTCCCCCCTACTGCCTGAGCAGGAAGACCTGGCTGTACTAGTGCAAAGGCTGTAGCAAAATCATACATCTCTATGTGGTCTAGCCACTAGAAGTGGTCATAGTGCCACAGTGTAAGTGTTGGTGTACTCAGGTTCTCCTATGTCCAAAATCACCTTTAATGCCAGCACTATCCTTAGTAGAGATTATCCTTTATTTACACTCTCGGTTACCCTAATTCCAGCTGTTCCTCCTCATCTCCTTTTAACTCTCTATAAAATATATATAATTCTCTCATTTCTGCAAAAACTCAGTCTTAGTTCTTTTAAAATAGAAGTGGTTTCCTCTCTCTTGGGTGGTGAGGTTTATGCCTTGAAAGCAATTTTTGTATTCCATGAGCCTCTGATTTGCAACTGTTTCCATGATGTAACAACTAGAACGGTGGAGTCAGCGATTCCATACAGAAGGGGACATTTCCAGCAAAAGTCTTGTGTAAACCTTCCTTCTCCCCTGCTTTCCTACCCAATGAAGCTTAATCCTGAGCATTCCCCAACCCCCACTATTCCAAGGAAGGAGCGACACAGGATGAAGAGTAAGAAATAGATGAATAGAAAAATGAAAGGTAAATAAAGAGGTCTATTGAGAGAAGAAGAGAAATTGGAATATGGAGTAATAACAATACTTGGTACTTCTTATCTCAAAGACCTCTATGTAAGTCAGAAAGTGTCATTAGAAAGCACTTAGTCCTGCTGTGATTGTAGGGGACTGGACTAGATGACCTCTCGAGGTCCCTTCCAGTCCTATGACTCTATGGCCTGGTCTACACTAGGAGGTTATGTCGAATTTAGCAGTGTTAAATTGAATAAACCCTGCACCCGTCCACACAACGAAGCTATTTAGTTCGACATAGAGGTCTCTTTAAATCAATTTCTGTACTCCTCCCCAACGAGGGGAGTAGCGCTAAATTCGACATGGCCATGTCGAATTAGGGTAGGTGTGGATGGAAATCGACGCTAGTAGCTCTGGGAGCTATCCCACAGTGCACTACTCTGTTGACGCTCTGGACAGCAGTCCGAGCTTGGATGCTCTGACCAGCAACACAGGAAAAGCACCGGGAAAATTTGAATTCCTTTTCCTGTCTGGCCAGTTTCAATCTCATTTCCTGTTTGGACATCG